GAGACCTCTAAATTTCAACTTGGGTGGCGTTTTGGGGCATGAATGAATGGCCCTTTTTGTAGCCTAGTGAAGCATTATAGTAAATCAGTGAAACAACATTAGTAGTATTTCTTATTCTATATCCATTTGAGATTTAGACAAGTTGTCTATCTGCATCTCACAGATTACTGGTTCTCTAGCTCTGTTCAAGTACACTCTTTTAAAATAATAGTGCATGCTGTTAATGGCAAGTTCATTAAATGCAAGTCTTTAAATGTTCAGTATATTACAGTTATAAAATGATTCCCTCACACACATTCATGCACGGGTTTGTTAAGAATAGAACACGTTTTCTTTAGTACTCTTGACTATAGACTCCGTAAACGAAAATGGCCATTCTTTGTCAGTTCTTTGCACAGTGAAGTGACGTTTGGAGAATGAGACGCTGTCAAACAATCATGTCTTATTCAAGTGTGTTTGCAGGCTGTTCAGCCGTGTTCTAGTATGTGCTATTAATAACATCTTTACCTTTAGATGTGTACTATTACAGTCGTGAAACAAATTACCACCCCACCCTATGGGGGGGATTATGAAAGTTATAGTGTATTTTTCAATACTTTGGCATCAAAAGCAATTGGACAACCTACCACTTGAAAAACCCAAGTTAATACCCACACCAGTTTTAAATGGACTTTGTGGTCAACATGTGTTTTTGTTGCCATCCATTTTAGAAGAAATAAACATGTTTTATTTAATTCTTTTCAAAACTGTTGAAAGTGTTTGCAAATGTACGGAAGTCCATCAAAATGAAGGCACATAGTACAGGGGGTCCCCACATCTCTTCACTTTTACCATCATTGACTTTCTGTGATCGTGGATGTGAAAATGCCCTCGCTTTATGTCCATATACTGTGATGTTCAACACTAAGAACCTTTCTTAATCTCTTTTAAGAGTTTTTTTTATGTCCAGAGCTTAACAATAGCAAATTCCTAGTAAAATAATTGAACAATTGTTTGGGATTAAATATAAAATATTTTTACATTTTTCCTGTGCCCCAACTTTACTGTGTGTGCTCTGAACGCTAAATGCCCTTATGATGGTCAGAGAAATGCAAGGAGACTTCTTTGCTAGATAAGTTAATAAAATATGAGTAATGTTTCTCTACGCTGTATCATATGTCCTATTTATCATATGTACAGGATTTAATGTAACTTTATATTGTATTAGGCCGTACATGACAGTATGTTGCTGTATATCGCTTTTATCTCTGTGTGCAGTAAGATGGTGTATACAGTATGTAACGAACAGTTCTTTCCGGACCCTATGCGGACGACAAAATCCGAAGAAGTGGGAAACACTTGGAAAAGGTCATGCAGGGATACGGGGCTGAAAACAGGGGGGCGTGTCCAAAGTGCGCTGGTGCACGGGGGAGGTGTGGCCGAGGCGAACAATCCAAAAGTAATCCATAGAGGGAATCCAAAAAACACAAGAATAAGTCCATAGCCAGGTGATCCATCCAAACTAGGAATTAAAACCATGAACCGGCAGACAGGGAACGGGAACGGGAACAGAGATTAAAACCTTAACGGGACCAGGCGCTTCCAGGTCCCGGACTCGCACGGTGCGGAAACCAGATGCAGAGCCCGGATGAGCGTCAGCGCCTGGCTTTTAAGGTGGGCTGGGAAAAGGGATCAGGTGCACAGAATTAAGTCTAAAGTGAAAGGGCTGGAGCACCCTTAAGGAGGGGGGACTATAATCGTGACAGTATACTATATCGCCAGCATCCAGCATCTCCCACCATCTAACTCTCTTGCTTACAAGCTCTCTCTTTCATTGACTGGTTGTTTTCAAATTCTAACTGATTGTAAAGGGTTTTAAAAAATTCAATTACATTGAAGAGCTCAGATATGTGGTTCATTACAGGAATCAGACAGTTTCTATACACTAAACATGAATGTACGCCACTATTGAAATACACTGGTTCCTATGGAGAAATATAACACTTGACATCCTACGGAGAATATTTATGTACCCTGGTCCCTATCAATCCCTATTTCCATCATGTCCTCTAAAACAATTCCCTGTTTAATTGTGATTCACTTAACGTTCATGTCTTACAGTCCCCTATTAAGGACTGTAAATGGGGAACCTCTGTAAAGTATTTTTCACTTTAATGTCAGGATTCTGAATGATGTCTCTTCAGAGAGAGAAGAAAGGTGAGTTTTGCACTGGAGCTTTGAAAGCTGTTAATGTCTCTTACATGCTCCCAACACAATATTCACTCTTGAATTCAACTGACTGGAATGGATTCTAAATGTGTCTGATGATGAGGAACATGATCATCATTCTGGACATCATATCTCCTGTAGCTCAGCAAGGTCCCAGTACAGGTATTTCTCTAAGTTTCTGGAGTTGGACAGAAACTCAAAACCAATTTTAGAAGCCCTGTACATTATGGAAAAGAACGGCATTCATTGTCATCTGGTGAATCAAAGTTTACTGGTGTAAACAAAAACTATTTTTTTCCATAAAGAACGATCATCTGTTGTCTTATTTTTACCAATGTCTTACTGATAGAAGTAACATTAGCTGTGATAGGAGGATCTACTAAAGCATTCATAACTGACAGATATCTGTCAGTCTGTTAACACTTATGGAATTAGTTTTTAGTGACGGTCTCTTACTACCAGGTTATCGATACTATTAATATTCTCTTAATCTATACATTCTTATGCTAAGGTCTTATCCTTTATGCTTGGTCACATCTTTCATCTGTTGTGACACTTTTTGACTCAATAGAGTTCAGTCTTTCAGATTACCATTGTCGCTTTAGTAATATAGTGTCTGTTCAATAAGTTTGAACAAGAAAGGGAGCAGTCGAGCTCTGTGCATGTCCCTTTGGGTTGGCCAATGCTGGAAAGAGCTGAAAAGAGTGTTTCAGCACTGTGAAAGCAAGCACACCCATCAGCAAGGCCCTACCCTGGTTCCCTGTCATTTTTTAATTGTTCGACTCGAGCGCTCGCACTGAGCCTTGGCGAAACTTGAAATGCGAAGACCAGAAAGGCTTCTTTGATGACGGACGGAGAAGAATTTAAAAAGTCACAGCTGGCAACTGTCACGACTCGTACCTTCTCCCATAAGTGCCCTAGCATTCCCACACATACTAAACTCCACACACGCTCATCCAGGAACTAATTATCCAACCACGTCTCTCTCTCTTCACCGGCTTACCTACGCTCACTATTGAGAAGTCTTCCACAGCTTTCTCTTTTGCGTTCAAATATTCTGGACCTGACTCCTTGATTACTCGACCTGGTTCTCCTACTTTTGACCTCCCTCTGTCTAATGACTTGGATTTGGAATCTTGGATTTACTTTTGCTCGTACTACCGTCCTTGTGGCTTCGCACAGAGGTCCAACTACTCACCTCTTTCAGGAACCCTGACAGCAATAAAGCATTTTCTTCAGCATTCCACCAGATGTACGGGATTCATACACACTCTCAGTGTTCAAATCTAGGCTAAAAACATATTTGTTTAGCCAAGCCTACAAATAAATATTTAGAAGAAGTAGGCCATACAACCTAGCAAGTTCTGCTTTCATTGTCATTCACTAATACTTTATCTCTTTTCTATCTGTCATTCACTAATACTTTATCTCTTTTCTATCCATCCCTTCTGAGGACATCCATCCTGTTTGGAGGCCCAGGTCCAGAATCCAGCTCCTTCTACCGGTCATAAAATCAACAGCCAATTCTCTAGACAGCCCTTCTTCACCTACCTCTGCTAAAGCCGATATTGCAGTCCTGCTCATTTGAGCACCTGCCAGACTCGACTCTGCAAGGCCACCGGACTGACCGACCCTGGTGTACTCTCTCCTGCCCCCACCCCCGAACTCAACTTCCCAGTGAAAATCACAACTGAAGGAAACTAACTGAACATTCTGGACACTGTTGGACATCACCATACCTGACTGAGCTAAAAATATTAGTCTGCTGTTCACACCATGTTATACAATATAGACAACTTTCATATCTGTACATTTTAATTTAACCCGGTGCTGGCAAGAGGAGGATAGATTCCCCCTTTTGAGCCTTGGTTCCTCTCAAGGTTTCTACTTACGATAATCTGAGGGATTTTTTCCTTGCCACTGTCACCTTAGGCTTGCTCACTGGGGGTTCAAGCCCCGAAATCTGTAAAGCTGCTTTGTGACAATGTCCATTGTAAATAAAACTGAACAGAAGGAAACACAGGCTTACAGTTTTGCATCATACAGTCATCACAAATTGGTATGGCATACGCATGACAGGATTACCTCTTCCCATGTTATTTTGCCCAAAGTCCTTGCTCAATGTTTTTCATTACAACACAAGCCTCACGTGAGACTGAGATGAGGTAGATCCCCACTTTTTAAAAGCAGTATTTTCCAGTGGTTTACTTTTAGGCCTTTATTGTGCAGGACAGGCAAGAGACTAAATCAATTGTTTTTGTGCTGGGAATACCGCCTTGCATTCCTGAGGTTTTCTACAAATAAAGCAGCACTTTTAAATGGACACAATTTCTGACAGAGATGGAAGCCTCATCTGATTCCGTAATGCCTTTGGATTAATGGAAACCAGCCTTATCTTATTTTGTGTTTTGTTTTGTTTTGTTTTTTCAGTTTGGACAACACAAAAACAATTGATCAATTCTCACACGGTCTTCAGTAGCCCTTATCCTAAAAAAAGAACCAGCATTCTCAAATATTCATCCCTCTCAGTTACTCTGTTCACCACATACAGAGCCAGATTCAGGTTTAAAGTATATTCAGCAGACCCGAGAAACAGCGCGATACTCAGGGAACAGGCTTGGCCACCCATACGCTAGGCCTTGGAGGAGAAGTTGCGCAAATTGTGTGTGAAAATCCAAGACCGTGGGATTCTCTGACTTTGTTCTTTGGTCCACGAGACGATTATGCTGAGGCGAAAGCGATTATGTTTAGAACAACACCGTAGCAAAGCATAAAATCAGGAGACTGCATTGTTAAGTTCTCATTTTTTTATTTGAAATTAAACAACCAAATATTTACAAGATTAGGTGATTTTAACAGCATAGGGTAAGGTACACAAGACGGGGATGATTAGTTCACTTCAGCCCTACAAGCAGACAAAACGGCATTGCGTGCAGAAGAATAGTCAACGCAGACAAAAACTACAAGTGAGTGGAGCCCCACCCAGCCTTTCTAACATACTTGATCGCTATTTGAAAATCCACACAAATGAGTTTGCTACAGGTCTGTGTAAGGTTTTTAAGCTCATCTTCCAGCTCATCTTCAGCCCTTGCAGGATTTCACTTCACCTGAAAATTAGAAAAAAAAATCAGACTGAAGCTGGTCAAGTAATTGTCAATCAATTGCTCCTTCACAGGACTAGGAGATTTGTAAGAAAGACTTGCAAAACTGGAGCTGATTGTCCTTGTGACCACCTCAATCATCCTACCCCACCGACTTTACCAGGCAGCAGCAATTAGGGGAATTAATCTGGAAAGCTTGCATATCTATTTGTTTACAGGCATATATTTTTTTTTATACTCTAGATCTCAGAAAATACACATACCCTGTACAAGGCATGACATGACGGATTTTGACAATGTGAGCAGAAAATCCCTCTGTTCATATTTTGTGTTAGTCTATAATGTTCAGGGACAGTCTCTGTTGGGCAGCTACAGTACGCTGTCTCTCTTAATATAATCTGGTTAGAAACACTGAAGACCAGAACATTTTTGAGATTAGTGAACTCTTTGTTGGGTGATCCAAATGACCAGACCTAATTCTAAAACACTGTGTCTTAATTAAAGACACAAATACTGTAAAGCATTCCAGGGCAAGTAGACTGTCTTCATCAACTACTTCATGTAGTGATTAGTAAACTGCTCCCCTTTGTTCGGAGTCTTCCAAGAGCAGGAGAGCTCTTTTTGGTAAGATAATGACAATGACATTGTGAATTGCTGCCCACTGAAAAGATTTCATGTGTACTGATACTTACCTTGGTGATGGTGGCCACAATGCTGTAGAACAAGGTGATGAGGAAGAGGGACAGGAAAGCCGACACCGTTTTCCACAGATGGTCACTTTCCTCCACTTCACCCTCGTAATCGATATAGGTCTGGATATTGTATAAGTCTGCATTGAAGAACAAAACATTTGATTATAGGAAAAATAAACTCCCACATTCTTTCTCTGTCTGTCTCATCTGTGTCAGTGTCATGTTCACTTTATAAATAACAGAAAAGGTGTTAGTACAACGTTTTTACATATGCAGAAAATGCAGTTGCTTGATTACAGATTGTGACAGCTCACATTTTGGGGTGTTGTTTCCTCCACATGTAATGTCAGATGCAACAACATTGCAGATTTCTGTCATGTGTAAGCTGTGGAAGCACTTAGCACACTACCTTGTCGACTGCCACTTTGTTGAAGCCTCATTGCTATTGACAATCAACACATTTCCTTCATCTTCTCAAGTTTAGCCTACGGCCCATCCCTCTCATGAACTGGGAGCCCTGGATGTTGCTGAGCTGTTCTCTGACCTATCTATGGTGCTGCGAGCTGCTTTCAGCCAGCTTCACTATGGTACAATCCCATCTATGAATCATTAGACATTTTACAGGAGATCACTGTGTTGACTGACCCTCTGTCCCCACCCTATTGTCTCTTCCTAAGACAATTGAAAACTGTAAGAAGCCCAATGCAGCACTTATGGAGCTAAAACCAGACTCAACCCCATTGGCTTCCTTGAACATTATGGTTACAGGAAACACAATAACTGAGGTTATTTAACTATTGAAGCACACTTGTAAATTCCTTACTGGATAATACATCTCATTTGCCCTGTCATCTCAAGAAAACATCTTAGTTCATTTTTTTAAGTGGTCAATTAGCTCACAGTTAATCTAAAGGAAAAAGAAAACCTGTGATGGTGCTTTAATACTAATGTTGGTGAAGCTACCCAAACCTAATTCATCAAAACCTCCTACCAAAGGACTTCTCTTGACTTGCTCTTATTGAAGCATTTTAATAAGTAGCAGTAACTGAAATAAAAATACATTTAGTTCTACAGTATAGCTCATAGCTGAAGGTATCCCTACCAGCTATGTAAAACAGTAGCTCAGAATTCTGCCATGCACTGGCAGGTAGAGGTGTTCTGTATGCATGGACCTACAGACCAGCATATTGATGTTGTCTCTCTTAGCACTAGTAGTGTGCCTGTAGCTGAAAATGCCCAGATCTGATCTGATATAATTGTATGGGATCAGCAAACACTTCCCGATTTCACATTTTGCTTGCTCCTGGTCTGTGTTACAGATTGCCGCATGTCTGTTGCGTGTCAGTCCGAGTGCCGACTGTGCTTTCCGAGGGGGAAGCTGGCTGAAAGCATCACTTTGTTTCGACTCATACCGTGATGTGCCACGCTAACGTTATTTTAAGAGGGGTGCCGTTCGAAGGTACCTTGAGGGTCTGCGGTAGGGTCACCTCTGTAAGTGTAGTTTTTAAGCTGACGGGGGAATAAACCGTAGTGAATGGAACTTGAATGTGTGATGCTACATCTCACTCTCTCACAGTCTTCACTGGTTTTGTCAGAAACTGGAATGCTTTCTTTTGGGAGGCCCTACGTTTTGGCAGTATCAAAACATTTAGAACAGTCTGGACACTCAGTGGACACAACGGTCAAGACATGACGTTAACATGGAAGGCAGTACACCAGTATGACATTGCTGGGCTTCTGTTCACACTAAATGAATGTGTAAATGTCCAATGGCTAAAGACAGGGAGGTCTTTGAATTCCCTGGTATCAACTTAGCTTGTGTTTTTCTGACACAAAATGCCTTGGATGTACAGTACTTCTTTAAAAATATTTTGAGACTTTTTTAGAACTTGTGTTGTGACTCGTACCGTGATAATCATTTCTATGCTTTTATTGTTTTAATGCTATACCCCCAGCTTATTTGCAGCTTGGTTTACATTTCCCAGGGGTGGGCTCATGAAGGATGCCCTTCACTTCCCTTGACCATGTATCGACTAATGAATCTAGTTTGAGAACAGGACTGGTGCACTGCAGACACATGTAGTGTCTGATGATCTCTGGTGTTCCTGGGGAAGATCAGAGGTTTGGATGAACCTGGATGAGGCTCAGTGTTTTAAGTAACATTAATGCTTGCATGTACACATGTGTTTGAATGCCCTTAGTATCTTAGCAGTTGCAATCTGTTCTTATCTGCTGCATTGATGATTACTTTCCTTTATGAATATTTGCAGCTTACGATTTAATGTTTCCAAATGGTTTAATGTGTGTATGTATGTTTTTACCATATCTGAGCCACCAATTAAAGGTTTCTGCTAGAAGAACTAGAATGTTTTCTCTTTCCTTGCTTGTGGTTTTACTGTTCACCTCTTAGATAATATGGAGTGGTAAACAAATCTATTTAGGTAATAGCAATTATTTCTATTATACCCCTGGCCACCTTTTAAGACAATTGTCTCA